GGAAGTGTTTTATCAGGGGACGGAAAGAGCGACCGTGAAATCGGAATGTACATTGGGATAACGAAATATGTCTTTGAGAAGATAAGCAAAGTATTAAGAAACAATAAAAATTCATTAGAAACGGACAGCATAGTAGTGACCTGTTACGTAATAACGATCTTCCTAACATGAGAAGGAAGGCAGGACAATCTTTTCACAGATGGAAAGAAGTTTGAGGTAACAGAATTGTTTCTACTGATGGGTGCTAAGAATATCATGAAACTCAATATGTTAGCAATGATGAAATTTTAGTGAAAGAGAATCAAAAAGGGAACTTATATTTAACATCAGCATTTGAAATTTCTAAGCGCACACCATAATTAAAGAGGATTGATTAAAGGCAAGTGAGGCAGATTAATTGTAATAGCAATATGACAAAATTTAGTAAAAGCAACAAAAAGGAAATTGTGGAGAGCCATGATCGCTAACGTCATGAAGGGACATGACAAACAGAAGAAGAAAAGGAAAATGGATGGCAGATCAAGTTTTAAGTGTGATATCAAAATGACAAAATTTAGTAAGTGATACAAAAAGGAAATTGTGGAGAGGCATAATCGCCAACGTCATGAATGGGCATGTCACACAGAAGAAGTAATGTAATATTTATAAATACATTGGGAAGGATAGCCGAAGGAACATATTTCGTTATTACGTATTTTTATATAAATTATTGTTTTTAATAGTTTACAATTGATATAGAGTACATTTATAATCTACTAGCAGTAGATCCCTGCGTTGCCCGGGGATGTAACAGTAAGAGATAGATCAAGTATCGACCATCATAAAGACTGACAAATAAAATAGATAAAGATTATTGTTTAAGGTTGACGGACACGCATGTCTTAATTAGATTTTTTTTTTTTTACGAATTGGTCAAACTTAAACTCAAACGATAATATTGTTTTCAATCGTTATGAGTCTACCGATTGAATAGAATTTTATTATAAACAATTGTCTTGGAATTGAATTTTTAAAGCATTCTGAATGTAAAAATAAAGAAAAAAGTGTGCAAGACAATAAGAAACACTACTTGCCAAAAAAAGTGAAGTTTTGTTGAAATCGGTTGAAAAATGTAGGGAATTCGATCCCATATATAAACGAACACACACACACACAAAAAACAACCTGGGTTTTATAATACGTATAACTCGATATGAGTTGTCCCCCTTTTATTCTGGCGACAGAATCGTGTTTTCAAATTGATTTCGTGCAAAAACAATCGTGTTTTTCCAATTTTTGGCGCTGTCAGAACCACCGCAAGGTAATTTTACGTAGTCCTGTTAAGTTTTGTTGAAATCGGTCGAAAAATGTAGGAAATCCGATCCAATATATAAACGTACAGACACACACACACACACACAACCTGGGATTTATAATAAGTATGATAACCTTCATCATGAGTTGACCATTCTATAGTTTCGAATTTGTGCATTATATAGTCAATATTTATTGCTTGCCAAATCCCTATGCTTAAATATTCTTTTTTAATTCTGATTCACATCTATTTTTCAGCAGGACGTTCCTTGCCAGCGTTTAAAATCTAAAAATTTGCTTTCAAGGATAGCTTCATTTAAGGCGGATTTCTTAATGAGGGCTTGCTTGACCCGGTGATCCCAAGATTGAAGCCGTCTGGAGATTCAACTCCTGTAGGGCTGCAACCCGTGGCAGTAAGGTGGAAGAGGAGGGATTAGACTGAATGTGACCAACCCGTACAGACCACCAACGGCGGAATAGGCAAAGATCTATACGATCTGAACGACCAAACTAACGTAAGAGGACAGCGCCTTTCCGGGTGGTATAACCAAAATATACCTTGACAGACCAAGCATCCGACATCATGTTACAACCAGGTTTGTCGCATCTCGCCTGTCTCAATCCGCTTTAAGCGACGAGGGAGTCTCTTCCGGTCAAGTTTGTGGGCTTCTCCGTCGCGAAGAGTGGTCCAAAAAATATCAGATTCACGCGAATTTCCCCTCAAACTATCTTTGACTATTCTTCAGAAGTAAGCTCAGCGTTCACATCCATCGCCACCACCGCTGCCATCAGAGGGTGGGGGTGCGATCAGAGGTCGAGAAGGAAATAATGAGAGAGGTTGACAATTTTGATGCTGGGACGCGAGTAGGTACCGACTACCACTAAATCTCGAACTGAAATTCTTTGTGGAATAAGAAACAAGAAACCAATATGCTAATTTCCTGTCTTTGAAGCCTATTTTAATAAATAGTCATAAAATAAAATAATATTATCATATCAGTTTCTATGCAATGCATTTTCCTGGATAACCAGGAAAATGCACAATGTAAAAGGGGAAGGAAAAAAATTCCGTTTTCCATCATCAAGGCTGATGTTATCCTCCATGAGAGTAACTTGTTGCACCTTAAAAAAAGTGGAAAGATTGTATTGGATCCATTGCTACGTCTGCTGCTAAGCAGTCAGGTTCACAATGACGGGCTGAAACTAT